CCATTTTTTTAAGATATAAAGGGAATTCAGTTATCCCTGCATAAATATCCCCGCTATCCTGTAATATATATGTTTTGAAGGTGATCTTACAAAAGCAGGAGTACACAGCTGGAATAAATTGATTGCATATATTTTTTACTTTTCCTATGCACCTCATCATTTGTCACACACAGAAAGAAAACAATCTAAAAAACCTCAAGCGTTCTCCCTGTAGTTCAATATACATTTTCAATATGATTTAGCAGAGTCCAACAAAACCTGAGAAAGTAAATTTTCTTTCCTTGGCAGATGTATTTTGTAGCAGCAGGGAGGTTCTAAGTACATTTAAGTTGGAACACATTCTTTTAAACCTGGCAAGACTTAATAGTCAAAGCAAGTGAAGCATTTTGACCATGAATTTGGTTTCTGTATCCATTGGCAGAAGCTAAAATTAAAAAAAGAACTGGCAATCTGATTTTCTAGGCATGACTGGTAAGGCATTCTGCAACCTTTCGTAAATGTTATTAAAGTACCTACATAATTTTGTTGATGGAGATATCTGTAAATAGAGGCTCCTAATCTTAACAAATAAATTGAAAAATAGCACAGCTAAAAACTATAGAAATTCCCACTTTTCTGCTACACAAGATAAAATCATAATCAACCATGTGCAGGCTCTCACAAATTTGATTTCCTTTTTTAATAAATAATGAAAAGACTTGTTTTTCTTACCCGTAAGGAAAACAACGACTGCATTTCACTTTCCAGTTTTGTCCTGGAGATTTTCAAGTAGCTGTCGTCAATAAGTAGTTATGATAATTTGATTTATGCACAGCCACCTCAGAAAAATCAAAGGTATGCCTAAGGCAATAAATAAAGGAGTTAAGTCTTACAGCACATCTGACCACAAAACATAGCAGTCAAAAAAATCTGTTGTCACATTGACAACAAAATCTAAACTCTGAGGCACAGCATCAAACTCTCTGCAAACTATGCTTCTTAAACGTATTCAGCCTTTGCAAAGGCAGAAGAACCAATAATCACTCAGGTCATATAAAAAATCAATGCAGAAATGGGGAAAATTAACCAAAAATCACACCTGGTTCCAGCCATACCATGAAACAAAAAAGTCATTAATATTTCAGACATGTTTCTTTGCTGTGCTTATGATCAGACACGGCGGACCAAGTCAGACAACAAGGCGAGTCTTATTAAATGCAGTCCGGGTGTTTTCACCGAAACAGTGAGATACATGAAAATGAAAAAAACCCTTGTTGGCAACTGTAGGGAAAACTTAATACATACCCCATCAGCTACAGCTGTGATGCTGTGGTTGCAAAGCCCATGTTTTTTTCTCCAATTTGATGAACGTATTTAGTTGCAAGTGGGTGACCTGGGTTTATGTGCTACAGCTTTTCTCCTTAGGAGTTAAGGTTAAATTTTTTGTATGTTTTCTGCCACCTCACCCTAAATTCCAAACGACCCCATTTTTAAATAACAAAGGGTTTGATTCACAATACATCGTTATTAGTATGTTGACTATTCTGTTTGTACATTGCTTTTTCTGAAGTACCTCATAAAGATCACTGGATGACTGAACCTGTAAAACTGGTTCTTATAGGATGTTACTGTAGAAAGCATGCACATTTCACAAGTAATGTGTTTTAAATTGCAATTGTAACAACAATAGGCCCACATGTACAGTGTACAGTGCAGAGATGTTAATAAATCATAGCTGACTCCAAAAAATACAGTAGGAGAAAAAAGCAATTTTCTTTGTCAGTCCCATGCATTTATTTGTGTCTCAATCAAGAGAATAGCATTAGAGGACAATGATAACACTACACAGTATTGATTTATAGCACATGAAATGCAAAGCTTGAGCTATTCAACAAGATACTGTCATGACAAAGACACCAATTTGATGACTTCTCAAAATATTTCATTTGAAAAACAGCTTTCCTATTTATTCTTGTTGGCACTGTTTTTCTACTGTAATACTAAATAAAGTTTGATCTGCCATTTGTTTCAATTCAAAACAATCCAGCTTAGGGCACCTCAGAAAATTATTTTCTGCATGTTAATGTGCAGTGTGCATGAGCACATCAGGTTAAAGATAACATTCACAATTCCAATGATATACGTGTAGTTTAAAAGCCATTGACCTAATAGCCATTTGCCTGAAACTGTGTCTCTAAAAAGAGGTCCAAGGCCAAAACCCAAAAGTGAGACATGTGGAAACCACTGTGGGTTGAATATATGAAAGTTTTTCAAAAAGGTGGGACTGCTTAAGACCAGTGATTCAATATCTTTTCTTTATTAGCTAAATCCCAGAACACTCCCAGCTCTTCGTGTCATCAATAACAAATCACCCTGTGATGTCTTCAAAAGACATCGACCGCAGGGCCACGCGACATTAGGACAGGTTTGAATACCAGCTCGAAAGGCGTGATTTGGAACACCACACACATTGCAAACCTAAGGCAGGCCTTTTAGAGACTTGCAAGGCTCTCTGGAATTATTGATCAGAGCTCTTCTCACGTTCCAGTGACTCTGCAGCCTCTCCTCACAGAGCCCTGCACCAGGGAATCGCACACAGCTTTAGCAGAGAGCACTTGCCCAGGTACTTGAGGTCATAAGAGTGCTTTTACTCCCATTCAAGTGGCCACTTGCTTCTGCACTAAACTGCAGTGAAGGGACAACATTTGCATCTCCAGCAGGCATTGAATTACTGAATACTCTTCACTGCAAACATCCTATAGATAAATGAAGCCACCAGCAAATAAAGGCTAGTTTCCAAGATGTCACATGCGTCCTATGGCTGAAGAACAACTGAGTTTCCTTTCTATTGCGGTATAGTTTTTAGTAAAACTTGAAAAGGAATGTGACATGGCTGACAAAGCTCTAACACTCCCTATATATACAATAGTTTTACACACATTCATACATCCATTTACAATCCTCTCTTATCAAACTGTGCTCTTATAACTCCAATATAGAACACTTTCTTATAGCAACTTTCAATTTTCTACAACAAGTAACCTTTTGGATGGACAAAGCGCTCAATTTTGCAAATGAATATGTTTGTCAAAGAAAATTATTTTATTACATGTTTAACAGATTCAATCACACTCAATCAATAAATGAGTAATTTGTTTATGGGCATGGGCTTTCAGTGGATTGTGTGCAGACGTGAAGGGGTGATGTGTTGTCACATGTAAATGAGCTTGTTGTGATTGTGGGGAGTGTAAATCTACTGCTAATTTTTTGTATGTATAAATCACAACTACAATGTAAGAGACATTTCTGCAAATTCAGACAAAGTATTATCATACCTTAAAAAATAAAAACAAGGTTCCTTGCTTCCTTCTACTAATATTAAACTTGCACTGCTCATTTTTTCTATTTCTACACGAAAGTCGGTCTGTTATTGTTCTCAATGTTATCATTGAAGAAACCAATGTTTCAATTTGGACTGAAGTGATAACAGGATTGAAGAAACACACAGAATGATTGACTCATCCATCAACCTAGAAATAATCTTCCTTGTTCTTTTTCGTAGTGCGCAGATATAAATGTTATCAATCAAATTCCCTCCAACACCCACACGTTAGTAGCGTGTTTTCTCTGCTAGGAACCCGATCATGCAGGAAAAGAGTGTTTATTTCCATTTACAGTGATGGAATGTGAGCCATATTTGAAGGGTGCCCCAAGAACAAATAAAAAGATAATGTTACAAAACATTCACAATTGATACAAAGTCAATTTCCATCCTAATCATCATACATAGCAACAAGCATAGTTTTCAGGTTGCTATCTAAAATGCAAGCCTAGCGTATGAGATGTGTTTTACCTTTGGAGACCCAACGCTTGTCGATTGGGATAATATTCTAAAATCAAGGAAAGGCAGATCTCATCTGATGTGTGAGAGATGACGACCAGAGCTGAAATATGCTATTAAAAATACACAGTTTTCATCTCAAACATTGACCTGCGATAGCAGCCTTCCACGCCTGTCTTCCTTGCATCACGAAATTCTGCGGCTTCCTTCTCAAAAGAAACGAACAGGCCTGGAACAAGTGTAAAAAACGTTCTTGTGTCGTCACGAAGGATACGGAAACACCCCAAGGTGTGCAGAAGGACTAGAGTTGGGCATGAACCTGTGTGGTTGAGTAAACAGAACCCCGGTCATGGGGAGCAGGCGCTGGAGTTACAGCAAGCTGCCCTCCTCGCGGGGCCGAGGAGCTGCTGCCACGGGGAGGATGGGGGCGGCAAGACCGCGGACACCAGAAAGGCAGGATTAGTAGCCTGCACTTACACAGACACATGATGTTATCAGGCTTATTTTCAGACTTTAACAAATAAAATAAGGAAGATCCTGGAGAATCACTTATAATCAAACAGTGATTATTACACGCGGGTGGCAGAGCAGCACAGTGGTCAGCATTGCTGCCTTGCAGCACTGGGGCCCCTGGTTCTATTCTGGACCTGGGGCACTTTCGGCGTGGAGTTTGCATGTTCTCCCCGTTTTTTCATGGGTTTCAAGTTCTCTGGCTTCCTCCCACAGTCCAAAGGCATACTGGTACTGTAGGTCCACCCTTATTAAATGTAGAACACAAAAACCTTCCAGTTCTTCCTGAAAAACATGAGTTCTACCCTTTACACGTTTTCAGAGTAGGGTTATCCGTAACAGTTACAACAGGGCCTTAAGATCTTTTGCTCTCAATAAATTAATTGCTTAATTGCTGGCTCATCTTAAGAAATGTAATGTTTTTTTTCCTGACGCTTTAAAAATTATGCAAATAAAATACTGTAGTAGATTCATGTTACTGTAGCTATTAATATAACTCACGTTTGAGTGGAACTGGATAATGTTTTCAGTCTTTAATGTCTTGGTAGAACTAGACTCGGATGACTTGGCATGAAATGGCTTTGACATTTGCGTTTGAAAACGTCCAAATGCGGATTTCTTGTCTGCAGCCTCCGCCATTCACATGAATTATTTTCTTCTTGTTTTACAGAGCATGAAGTAAAAATGAGCTGTTCTCACACGGAACCTGAGGAGAAGCTATCCAATGAGGAACTGGAGTGCAAGATCTGTTACCAGAGGTACAATGCACACAACCGCAAGCCCAAGATCTTAGACTGCCTTCACAGAGTCTGTGCCCGATGCCTGAACAAGATCTTGGACATTGGAGATGGATCCCACTATATCAGCTGTCCCTTCTGCCGTCACGAGACAGAGGTCACGGAGTACGAGGTGGCTGGGCTGCCGGACGACTGCAACATCATGTCAAAACTGGTCACCAGGGACAAGTCCTGGAGCACAGAATGCAAAGAGGTGGTCCTGACACCCAAGAACCTCTCCTCCACCAGCCCATCCCATGGCTCCTCCAATTGCCTGGTTATCACTATCATGGAGGTGCAAAGAGACTCCCCTCGGACACCCAGCAGAAATACTAGCTCGGATTACTATGCAGAGCCAAGTCTGGATTCCATATCAGTCACTTCTCACAGCCACACAGACCAGGACCTCTTCTCCAAGCTCTGTAACCATGTGCCAAGGATATTGGTTTGGCTGCTAGGGTTCTTCTACTTTGGATCCCTGCCACTTGGGATTTACTTGCTGGTGATTCAGAAAGTGACTCTTGGGATCGTGTGTGTCAGTCTGGTGCCTTCCAGCCTGACTGTGTGCCTGGTGTATGGGTTCTGCCAGTGTCTGTGCCAAGGGATATGTGACTGCTCCTCCAGGACCTGACCGGCACCAACTGATAGATCCTACCAGACCTAGGCTGTCCCTCACCAAGACATGTGCAGTGATCACTGGCATCCTGCACTACTTAAAAACACTTCAATCAGTGGTATTAAAATCAACTAAAAGGTCTTTCTAATTGTGTGGTCCATAATGTTTTTGTTCACTTGCTACAAAGCGTTAAAAAATCTTAGACAAATGGCACTGTTAATTTATATTAGACCACAACGCAGAACCTCGATTTGAAACACTGATAGGTCCTTAAAATTGGGGAGTGAGGAGGTGATTAAATGCACTTTATTTGAATTCAATAATATTACTTGTGAGAAGATGGGTACTGCATTGCATATACCATGTTTTTGTCACTTATCACAAGACAATGTGACTAGATATGATTTCCAACACCAGGATGCAGCTCTTGGTTTCTTTTAAGTGACTATATTTACAGTTTCTGAGCAAGATCTAAGCCTAGTAAATCCTCGAACCTAGCTTACTTTCTGTAACATGGATCAAAACTACACACTTGAAATAAACTGGGAAGTTATTTTTTTTATTCTTGTTTTCCTCATTTATAAAATGCATATGCTCTGAATTCAGTGAAAATTAAATCAGTGAAATTGCAAAGCACTACCAATCCATATAGTAAGCTTCTTTTATTAAGCAGAAGGCAAATGTTTGTCAGCTTCAAAATTAAATGAATTACACTGCTGAGCCACTAAATGTGCTCGGCACACCAAACACGCCTGTTCTCACGCAAAAGGAACTTTCATACTCTTAAGTCATTGGATGATCCTAATGGGTATTATTTTTTTTAAGTGAAAAATTCAATCTGGTGCAAGACTTTAAAGATATGATTACCTACATAAAGGCAAACAGATGTTACACACCAAAGACGGCAGGCAACTGCTTTGTTTTACATTGTCAAAAATTGAATTGACTTTCAACACATATCTGACTAAATGAAGACAAACTCGAGACTGCTAATGCTAACTCTTTTTGTGATGGCAGCTTTGTGATGTGCAGTATGTAATATGCTAATGATTGCATCACTTTAGAACTAGCAGCAGTCTTTAGAATTATTCATGGCATCATTAGAGGATTAAAAGGAATCATTAAAATGAAGTAATCTATGACATATAGTGAGAAAATGTACTGCTAAATAATCTTTTTACAGTATCACTGTGACATTCACATATTATACAAACATCTGTCATTTCTTTTTAGAATTCATGGTTATCACATTATGATTGGGTGGAAGGCTATAGGTAGTTATTTTGTAAGCAGATATCTACACATCAAAGGAGTGCAAGTCAAGTTTGACAATACAGTGCATTCTTAGTAAATATTTGTAAGGAATTATGAGTCAAAAACTAAGATAGAGTGATGAATAAAACCCACAATTTGGATCCTATACTTGACTGGTTATTCTTCAGTGACACTTCAAATTAACTGCCGCTGACTAAAAGTGATTGCATCTTGAAAATGTGAATAATGAATTCATTAGGAAGTCTTAATGACAGACTTGCAATCATATGATTTGAATATAAATGTTAATTTCAGAATCATTTGTGTAGAACTAATTTTAACTTTTGAGGTCTTCCCAATGGAAACTGTATACAAAAAATTTCTCTGTCTGCTGGTAGAAACCTAATACATCACACACAGTGACAAACAACTGCTACTCTTCTGTCATTTCACAGAATACGAATTTGTAACATACTGTAACACACTTGTTGCATTATACAGTAGCTGTACAATACATATCGTACAATATAATACTAATTGTATTGAATCAAGCAAGTGTTCTGTGGTATTGTTTTATATTTTTGGTTTGTTTGCTATTGGTCATACTGACAACATAATAGCTTCTAAAAGGATATTCCAAAGTGGAAAGCACGTCACATTGTGCATGAGTGGGTAAAGTCAGCACCCCTGGTTTAATGTTAATATGTCATGGGCTAAGACACTGTGATCGTTGAGTTTGTTTTCCTAGAGGAACTTCATAATTCAAGCACAACTCAGCAGCTTGAGCAGCTTCTTTGGGGTCAGTTCTCCATTCTAGTTTATTAATCTTACTGTCAATTGGTGAAACAAAAGCTCTGTTCACTTTTTCTTGAAGAAATAATATGCATGGTAAATACAATTTAAAATGAAAGAAAAGAGAACCATTTAAATCTGTACAGTCAGAAACTTGATCTTTGAAATTTATACACAATCATTCAAAAAACATCTCTAATAACTTTTGCACTTCACACATAAAGAGTAACTTCTCTGGTTCTTAAATATTGAGCTTGGATATAAGAACTCACTTCTTGGTATAGATAAAAACCTTTCAACTTGTGTTAAGCTGCAACTTATGAAATATTCTATTTATTAAATATATAAAATAATATTTCCTTAAGGAAGACAATTCTCCAATAACTTATTTTCAAGATATACTTTATATACTTTAAAAGCAACTTAATAATGTATCATGGTTTATACATTATAATATGTACTTTATTATATTTCTACATATATTAATATACATGATATGGCTTTGCAATGACTTCTGTTTGACACAGGAATCGAACACCTAAAAAGTTAATACATTTAATAAGAGCAATGTATAGAGTATGTATCATTTACAATCTTTGAGGAAGCACTGGTCTGTCAGTATGAGAAGTTGGTTTTGATGGGAGGTTGTGGATGTTCTCAGTTTACTACAAGTTCAAACTATTTTTAAAACCCTTATTCCAGTCTTTACAAGGGATTCCAACCTCCACCCTTGAAAAGAAACAGGTCTCCCTTTATTGAGTTTGCTTATTAAAATAGTTTAAAACAAGTTTTTTTTTTCTTGCAAAAGGAAAAAGATATTAAGTTGAATGTGTAGCACTTTCTTTCTAGCAAATACAGACACCATTTAATTTGAAAATGAGTACACTTAAATCTGGAAACCAATTTAATCCATACAGTGAATCATATTTAAATTTTTATCTTTAAATTAAACAATCCACTTGATCATTGTTACTTTCCTTCAGTATGTACATATAATTTTTAGAGGCCTCTTATTTTTTCTGTTCTTGGGAATACAGGTGCTTGGAAAAGATACCTCTAACCCTCCACAGGGAGCCTGGACACTCCGGTCGGCAGTGTCAGTTTATAAAATGCATCAGTGACGCTTGTGTTCCAGTGCACAATTCTGGTTTAAACCCTGCTCTCGCAGACTGTCTGTCAAGAAGCTTCTGTGCAGCATGGCTTTATAAAATTGAAGGCGACATCCAGCTAATTTATTAAATCATGTGTTTCCTGGTTCCTAAGTGTAGAAAATATGATATCATTGAATTCAACAAATATGACAAAGAAGCGAACAGCTCCTGGGAAGAATGGCAGGTGTTTTAAAGAGCTAGTGATTTTGTTTACTAGATTTTTTAGTAATTAATACTTATGTATCTGCTGGAGTTTGTTATTTTTATTTGTGAACAGAATCACATCTCTCACAAGATAGATAAGATTACAGTCTTGAATTCTCCATCCCTGTTCATGGATTCTCCTGTCCAGGAGGTCTTATAGATCATCCCAAAATACTTGTTTCTAAAGAATGGAAACATCAGGTATTGATCAATTAAGCAAATAATTTGTTCAATTAAAGAAACACAGTTCCTTGAGAAGTATTGAACTTTGTTTTCCAAATGATTGAAAAAATGACCTAATTTAACAAAATACCTGCTTGAGTGATGCTAATTAAATGGCTGCAAGTCTTCAGAAATAAAGAACTAAATGATTACTTAGAAAAATAACACTGGACTGATGTTCCTCAGAACCGAGACTAGACAGATCTACAAATCTAGAGTTATAACTTCAGCCACAAACCTGTACACATCAATTAGTATTTTTAAATTACCTAAACCTCACTGGGGAAGTATAACTATTTCGGAAGCTACTGTTTTGTTATACTGCATATGGAATGTGCAGTCTAGAATCCATCTGGCAGTGACTCATCCCAAAATATTTTATTGTTGCATTCCCAGCAGAAGAATCATGCAAGACTATAAGGTCATGTCAGAGTTAATTAGAGATGGAGTCTTTTATGCCTCAGAAGCAGTAACCCAAAGGAATAAACAATTATGTAAACTGCAGAATCCAATTTCTCCATGCAGCCCTAGAGGAAATGGGTGAGGGATATTTTTTCCAAATTCTACACTTCTTCTAACTGTGTAGAGAGAACTGTTTGTCTTGAAAAACAGCAGGCATAATAATGAAAATAATGAGGTGGGTCAACTAGGGAATAGTGAACAGAAGGAAATGTGAAATGGCTAAATTTATTTATTTTTTTCTACATGGTTTTAAAAATAAAATGGCTCTGCTCTCTGGGCTGAACTAATCTGACAGCTATATGCAGACTCCCTTGAATATGTGCAAGGTTACTACTTAACAACTACCTCTTTGAATCTTTTTTAATCCACTTATGTATTTTACTACATAATAGAAACTATAAAAGAATATATAAAGCAACATCTGTTTAATTTGGCACCTTTAAAGTACCTCCTAAACTCTGATCCCAGGGCGGACCTGCCTAGGACACAAACTGAGACAATTGAAAATCAGGTTGTGATTAGAACTGGAGTTACTGACCCAACAGGCAGCAATCTTCCCTGTGGACAGAAATTCTAAACTAAATCCCTAGAAGGGGGCAGAAGACACTGTCTTCTCAGATATCCCCTTTTCTGGGTGACCTGTTAGATTTTCTAAATACTTGTAGCAATGAAAAAGTCCACGATATTTGAGGAAAGGTTATGGATGCTAATACATCTTAAATGTTTCAGTTTGTCTTACCTATAATTTTCCCCTCTGGGTTAACTTTCTATGTCAATTCCTCACTTCAGCCCCTTATCTGACATGAAGTGTGCTACACATAAGCCAACCCTAATGGTATTTCATTTTGCCCCATCAGTAGGAGAAGTGCTAGCTGTAAAGCAATACATTTTTTAATATTTCATATTTCACTCTGGATTAAAATAGACCTGCTAAAACATTTATTCTCCAGTCACCAAGCATAAAGGCTTAAAGTGAATCAATAACAACGACTTACTGGGGGCGGGTGGGTAGATGAGGTTTACTATATTTCTGTTGCCTGTGCCATCGATATCAAAGAGCATTCCAATGTCTGGGACTAGAAGCTAACGGATATGTGTTCTTCAGCTCTTTATGCAAGTTTTTATTGTAAAGCTTTTTTCTCATCACTAAACTGAGTGGCACTGTATACCATCAGTTTGGCTCAGCATGATGGCAAAAGCCATCACTTCACTGACAAATGGATGAGCCAACAGACAGCCTGCTGTGTCCTTGGCAATTGCAGGAGTTCAGAGCAAAGCAGTGAGCGGTTTGTTAGCAGGAGTCTGAAATCTAATGAGTCAATTAGGATCTCTCTGCGTTCTTAGGAAATGAAAGATCTCTGATCAGAAAAATGCAAGAGGAATGCTACCAGGTGGTATGCCCCCTGAAAGCTGTTTATAACCTATGGAAAACAGATTGCCTTATGTAATTCAAGGACAAATGCTAAAAGTGTTAGCC